TGTGTGCATTGAATTAGGGTTTGTTTTAGTTTAGAAAATTATATGCACAGTACTCATGAATAATGTATAAATCACTTGCATAATTTTGGTGTTGTGAATTGAAGTTTATGAGTATAATAATATATAATATAAAAGAGTATCCAACATTATAAATGCTGTCAGCTGTATGTATGAATCAGGTGGAGTAGAATACACGATAAAAGAGTCAGATTGTGTATAAGTAAAATACAGTCAATGATTCGAGTATCATTTGAGTATGATTCAAGTATGATTCGAGTATGATTCGAGTGTTGAGCACTTATTGCAGTTCTCTGCATGGGTCAGCTCAAAAAATATGCAAAAAATTGCAAATAGGTTTTAAAGATTAATATGTAAACAGTCATGATATCGTTAATAAATTGAATGTAGACCACAAAATACAAGTATTTGTATAAAACTGTTAAAACAAGAAGTTCGACATTGTAGGTGCTTGATTAAGAAAGTTAATAAAATTTTATAAATTGAATTTTCGTTTGTAAATTGCTGTAGAAATATAATGACATCGAAGCATATTCAGGCAGGTAATATCAAATGGAGTTGTATACAATGAGCTTATTTGAAAAAAGTCATGGTCAAACAGGGATAGACATAAACAAATAGTGGCAACTCTTTGATTTTCAGTGAGGTAAGTCAAACTTTGCGTTTGGCTGAATTATAAATCTATTATTCATAATATTCAACGAGGTGATAGAAATCAATTTTTATTTCATTTAAAACTTAAAGCATTTCTTTCACGAGCATATTTATTTAGTGATCAGATGATCATAGCACTGCTATTTGACTATATTGGATACTATTCAGTGAACATGAATAATGCTTCATGAATGATGATGATCGGAATGAATTATGTAGAACGAGAATAGTAAGGAAGAGTCAGGAGTAAGGAAGGAACCAACTAACTAGTAATAAAAAAAAAGCAATTTTTAATTGAAAATATCTTTATTGTTTTTAAAAATCTTTTACTATATGAATTATTCTCCTAAATGCATGTTCGAGTCATTTATCAGAGAATTTTTTATATTTAAGTTGAACCACTTACTAAACTTATTTTTTAAAAGCATTGACGGCTTGCCGATGAAAAGGATCATTGTACTCGAAATTTGTCTTTGATGTGCGATTAAAAAGAAGAAGTTATTGGCAGTTACTTACTGGCAGTATCTCCATTGGAAAGTACAGAGATACAGCTAGTGGATGTCGTGGATGTCGATATATAAAATATAATATATATAAATATAAATATAACTATATCTATATATACATATTTTGATAAACCTAATTTTGGTGTTCCTTAGCATTTCACATATGAAAATATCATATGTGAAATGCTATCTATAGACATAGACGAAATGACACTCCATCACTACACTCTGGACACAAATCGGCATTCTGATGAGTGGACTCGACAATAGGCGAAAGTCAATCAGAACCACTAAAGATGCAACATTTAATTTTAGTACGGTTAAGCTACTAAATATTGATAAGATCTGGCATATGACATATAGTATTTTACACATCGTATATTGGGAGTCCCCTTAAGATTTTTATATAACATTAAACAAACTCTCTAATATTTTTGTTTTTGTAGTAAAAATTTATTTTTGTTTAAAGAAAACAGCAGTTTCCAATTTTTCTTGAAATGATGTTGACTAGACCTTTAAATAGAAATTTGAGATATATTTCAATTAATTTTTATCTTATTTTTCTTCTTTCAAAAGTATTCTTTTAACAATTCGATCAAAGATTTCTACTGGCCAAAGGCTGTAAAATAAACATATACAATATTTTTATAATTTATAGACATATGTATAATATTTAATACTTACTCTGTACATTTTGAGAAAGCTAATTTTATTTCAGGGACCGAAATTTCTTCCTCATTTTGCAGTATACCTTGAATGATGCGTTTTGCTACTTTTTCTCCATCGTGTGCTACTGCTATTTTAGAAAAAGTGCTTGATTTTAACATTTCTAAAATATTCGCATTAGTATTCAAAAATGTGGGAAAAACTGATGAGCGTCTTTTATACTAAAAAGTTCGAATTTATTCTCATTTTTCAAATCTAAATTCTCATTCTGTTAGTGGTGCGTCTAATGAAAACTGCATTATAAGCATATTCTTATGTGCTAAGTTAATATTCAAGGGATTGTAAAAGGGCAAAGGTGCTGATAGGTGTCCTTTAAGACAACACAACTCATTAGATATATTAAACAAGTGTTGATTAATGAGAGCGTTATTAAAATTTGTAAAAATTGATAAAAATTATTTTAAGCCTGCTACATGAGCTTATACAACAATACTGGCCTTTACCCACTTCTCTGTCCATAATTAACTGCAGTATATAGACGCGATTCAGTCCTAAAGTGTTATGTTGTACAATCTGAAAGATTTAAAATAACTCAATGTGGAATAAGGTTCCGTTTAATATCATAATTATAACCGAGGTAAAACTAACCCACAGCTTTGTTGCCGTTAAATTAACATTTATCATACGTTGCACTTCTCTCCAGTCAGGATTTGAAGGATCTGTAAACAACATAATACCAGCATTGTTTACTAATATGGTAGCTTTTCCTAAATCATGGATAATATTTTTATTGAGCTCCACTACTTCCTCATAATTTGAAACATCTACCTATGTAAAAATGAAATATAATTTTACTTTGTCCAGTTTTCAAGGTAGAGATTTGCTCTATGAAGTATATTCCATATCAAAGTGTCATATATGTGTGAGTTGAATACTTGGTTCAAGAAAAAAAAAATTATATTGGAGAGAGAGCTTATTTTCAATATTAACTAAAGTGTAGGATGTCAATCGAAAAAAAATCTTTAATTATGGAAAATCCATATTATTAAAATGTTTAAGTTCAAAGGCTAAAGTCATATATCAAATTATTGTCCATTAATATTATTTCTTTCAAATCCAATCTAGTGGTCTAGCTTAATGAATTTAGAAAGTAAGTTACTCACAGTTATTCATTTGTTTAGATTAATTACGTTTTTATATTCTTTACTATATATGTGAGTACACTAATAGACAGAAATAAACTATTCCCATAGCC